AAAAAGTCATTATTAATTGACTTGTAAAATATTCTGTATTTCTAAAACATTAAAGTTTTGTAGAATGTTCCTGTAGAACTCCCAAAATCTATGTGAGTTTCATCTTGGTTTATGTGAACCAAATACATAAGGTAGAAAGTCAACAGAAACCAAAAGATTTTTACTCTGATTTTGTGTTGAAATTTTACCTAGCAAAGGTGATTTAGTAATACATGTTATTAAAGGTTTGAATTCTATGTGCTTATTTAGATGTTGCTTTTTTCCTTAATATTAGGATACCAGGTTGCTCTACGAGAATATACATACCTTAAGGATTTAACTATAGGTACATTAGCCACCATTTAGAACATGCTAAAATTTAGGCCACCAAATTTGTCCTTTTTTGAGTTAGGTTCTGGTTTTTAAATAATGTGACAAGCAGGATTTTATGTATGTTTTCTAATTATGTTCATGGATTTGCAGATCTCATGCATTCTTTCTAACTTTAATGTCTGGGGAAGAAGTTTCTCTAGGGAGTGATGTGCCCAAATTTGGCTATGTGTCAGAATCATGTGGCGATGTTGTTAAAAATAAATAATACTGGAGATTTCAGTTTAATTGGATTTGGATGGGGACTAGTCTAGATAGCCTTCATTTTACATTTTAGAGCTGCCTTTCTGGAGGCCTAGAACTTCCTTGTTTTTGTTCTCTCCTCCACCACCTCCTTCTCCTCCTCTTCCTCCTCTTCCTGTTTCCCTTCCCCCTCCTCCCCCTCCTTTTAAAAATAAGTTATTGGGCCAGCCAAGTGGCTCAGTTGGTTAAGAGCTCTCTCAAGAATTTGAGCTCTGAGCAACAGCGGTTCGAGTCCAGCCCGAGCTGAGCTGTCGCTGAGCTGCCAACAGGTGGCAGGATGGCTCAGCTTAAAAAAATAAATAAAATAAAATAATAATAATAATTTATTGAAGCGAAATTCACTTACATAAAATAACCATTTAAAATGAACCCAATTCAGTGGCATTTACTACATTCCCAGTGTTGTGAAACTACCACCTCTATTTGTACAGCATCTCCATCACACCAGTATAAAACACCTTACCCATTAAGCAGTTTTTTTATTATTATTATTAAATATTTTATTGGGGAATTGGAGAAGGGAACAGTGTTGGGGAATTGGGGAAGGGGGAACATTGTGTTTTTCCAGGACTCATTAGCTCCAAGTCAAGATGTTGTCCTTCAATCTTAGTTGTGGAGAGCGCAGTTCAGATCCAAGTCTAGTCACCTTTTTTTTTCAATCTAATTGCGGGGGAGGTACAACCCACCATCCTATGCGGGAGTCAAACTGTCCTACAGTAGATGAACCATTTCATGTTCCCTCCAGCAATTTATGAGGGTTTTAATTTCTCCACATCCTCTCTAACACTTGTTCTTTTCCTTTCTTAAAAAAAATTAATGGCCATCCTAACAGGATGTGAAGTGATCGCTCTCTTTTTTTTTTAAAGATTTTATTGGGGAATTGGGGGAGGGGAGCAGCGCTGGGGAATCAGGGGAAGGGTAACAGACAAGTTGCTGTCCTTTTGTTCTTCAGTCTAGTTGTGGAGGACGTCGCTTCACTGGCCCATGTTGGTATTATTGTGCTCTTCCCTGGTGAGGCAGATCGGTTGCTGGCCTCTGGACAGCCGCTCATGCTGGCTGCCGGCCACACCAGTTAGCTTACGGCAGCCCACTGCAGCAGGGGTTGCAGCCTACGCTGTCACCGGCGACTCACAGCAGCCCAGCTCCAGGTTGAGTTGTTGTTCAGCATCTTAGCTGTGGAGGGCAGTATCATTGGCCCTCGTATGTGGGATCTGAACAGGTGTCCTCTGGCGTTCCAAGCCAGTTCCTAAACCATCACGCCACTCGGCCGGCCCTCTAGTAAGTTTTGAAATCAGGAAGTGTGAGTCTTCTAACTTGATTCTTCTTTTTTAAAATTGTGTTAGCCATGTGGGTCCCTTAAATTTCCAGGTAAATTTTAGAATCAGTTTGTCAATTTCTGCAAAAAGGGAAGCTAGGAATTTGATTGGTATTTTGTTGAATCTGGATCAAACTAGGGAATATTACCATCTTAACATTAAATCTTTCTACCCATGAACACGGGATATTTTTCTATTTATTTAGGTTTTTCATTTTTTTAAGCAATGTTTTATAGTTTTTTGTGTACAAGTCTTTCACCTCCTTGGTTAGATTTATTCCTAGGTATTTTATTCTTTTAGATGCTGTTGTACATGGAATTGTTTTCTTAATATCCTTTTTAGGGTATTCATTGCTCATGGATAGAAATAAAACTGACTTTGGAGTGTTGATCTTATATCCTGCAACTTTGTTTAATTTGTTTATTAGCTCTGTGTGTTAATAGCTTTCTTATGAATTTTTTGGAGTTTTATGTCATTTGCAAATGGAAATAGTTTTACTTCTTCCTTTCCAATTTATATTTTCTTGCTTACTTGCTCTGGCTAGAACTTGAAGGACAGTGTTAAATAGCAGTGGTGAGAGTGAGTATCTTTGTCTTGTTCATGATCTTAGGAAAACTTTCACCATTGAGTATGTATGGTGTTAGCTCTGGGTGTTTCATAAATACCCTTTATAATGTTAAGATAGTTCCCTTTTATTTATAGTTTTCTGAGTATTTTTATCATGAAATAGTGTTGGGTTTTGTCAAATGCTTTGTCTGCATCAATTGAGATGCTCATCTTTTAACATGTCATTTCTAAGTATGAATCTATTATGTCAATCCACTATTCAAATTTTATTTATACACATATTAAACTCTGAACACAAAGTAATGTACTCCTCTGGCCTAATTTTTATGCTTTATATATTCATTCAAACTATTGGGTTGTCAGGAAAGTCATGGCGTATTTTTTCTGTTTTTTGTTGGAAAAATGTATCATGACTTTTCCAACAACCCAATAGGTTCTTCATTACTTTGGTAGGTAGAATAATGGTCCCTCAGAGATGTCCACGCCTACTTCCTGGAACTTGTGATATATTAGATTACATGTTAAAGGGGAATTCAGGTTGCACTCCCTGACCTTAAAATAAGGAGATTATTCTGGATTATCCAGGTGGGCCCAGTGTAATCACAAGGGTCCTTTAAAGTGGAAGAGGTAGGCAGAAAATGAGAGTGAGGGGATTTGTGAGTTTGGAAGAAAGGCCCATAGAAATACAACAATGCTTGCTTTGAGGGTTAGAGGAAGGGGGCCAAGAGCAAAGGAATGTGGGTGGCCTTTAGAAGCTAGAAAGGACAAGGAAAGGGATTCTTAAAGCCTCCAAGAAGGAATACATTGCTGCCGACACATTGATATTAGTCCTCTGAGAACAGTGTCAGACTTTGACCTACAGAACTATAAAATAATAAATTTGTGTTTAAAACCACTAAATTTGTGGTATTTTTACAGTAACAGTACAAAGCAAATATAACTATCCAAGCATATTTTATTCTAACATTTATAGGTTGATTTATTTCTGCAGGCAAACTCATATCTAAATTTCCCTTAGGTTGTTAAAAATTGCACTCATTATTCAAGGTCCATTTCAAAGATTCCTCAGCCACTAAACTTTTCATTCTTCCACACCACCTCCTAGGTATCATACCTCTGTCCAAATATACCTAGCTTCTCTCTCCTTGTTTTTGTTATCTTTTTTTTTTTTTTTTTTTTTTTTTTTTTTTTTTTTAGATTTTTATTGGGGAATTGGGGGAAGGGGAACAGACAAGTTGCTGTCCTTTTGTTCTTCAGTCTAGTTGTGGAGGACGTTGCTTC